CATGAGGCAAACCTCCAAACAATTTTTTTTTAAATATCCTTTCTCTATAAGAAATAATATAATAAAATTTTTGTTTGGTGTTCCAGTTATTCGATCAGGGATGTGCGATGAACCTAAATACCGATACATACGCAGATAGCAGCATACAAACAATCGCTCAAGCAAATACATTCAAATAAACAAAAAGCAAACAAACAAGAAGCAAATTCATACAAATTCATGCCTTCACTTGTTTGTTTGAGTGGAAGCAGAGTGAGGGGAAGTGAAGATGACGATCGATGACGTCAACAATGGAATCATTTCACATGTCGCCGTACTTCAACTATAGCATTATATGCTATATCAAGTTCATGTTCCATCATTCAAATGTGTACAATTTTAGTTATTTATATATAGACCGGATGAATAAATGATTAATATAAAATGATGGAGGAAAAATAGGGATGAAACATCGTCATAGGCGGAGAATAAAAGTATTCAAATGGAATGAATGGCTCGGTAATGTTGCAATTTGGTGGCGGTTCAATGCTTAATGTGAACAATGAGGACCCATTAACATTTCTAAACAAACTCCAGCAGAATGCATGTGACTTTGTTTTCAAAAAAATATTGTTATCGTCTGTTCCACCCTGATTGTGCACCGTTGTTTTAAACACTCAGACACGTGATTGTTATCAATATTGCTCGCTTACTTATCATTTTTTTTAAGTAGTAGCATACTTTTTAAAAAGAAACAACAACTCAGCATAACTGAATCTAAATATTTCGTATTCTTAATTGCACTATCTCAATTGTAAAATTTATTTCAATAATTTTTCATCCCATTCAACCAACAGACCTAACCAGGTGGAATTCAAACGAATCAATTAATTAACACGATCAACTGCTTGTAAACAAATTGGTTCAAGAACGATGCTAACTATGTTTCATGCGATCATAAACAACTAGTACCAACTTCAGCGATAACATCATCGTGAACAAGTTTTTACTGATTTTGTGCTGCATCACAACATTAACACGATTGTCACAAATCATACGTTCATATTTCAGCAGACTAACATCTCATCCAGTTCGTCAATCACTTGCTCGTCATTCTCACAGCGTATAATACCTCATTCTATAAATTTAATTGTATCATATCTTGTTCTCTTGCACATGTTACCTATAAAATATAGAATAATTTTTAAAATTTGCACATTTATGTAAAGGTCTCAACTAAATTATTTCCTAAGTACAAACTAATCGATCGACTGATTGATTGATTAATTGAATTTAGATTAAAATTTCATTAAATTAAATTTTAATTAAGTTCAGTCCCAATTTCATAGTTACAGCTAACTCCGATGTGTCTTATTACATGTTGAAGTGGAGCGAAACTTCGAGTTAAAAGGAGTGAAAAAACTTGCAAAATAACCAGCAACTCGAATCACAAGTTGAAGCATTTATTTACAATCAAATACTAAGAACAATAATTATTATTAATAATTAATTAATGATTAATTATAATTGAAAGCTCTAAAGTAACAAATTTGTCGAGAATTCCATTATACCTACTGGTAAAACCACTGGTGAATAAATTAGAAAAATAATTAGCACTGAAGAACAATTAAAACAACATTTCGTAATAATAACAACGATAATGATGTTGGTGAGTGAGAAGTGAGTAGATCATTTATTTCATCATGATGAAAAATGATGTCGGCAACTAATCTACTGGTTATTATTATAAAATTATGGATTGTGATTTCGGAGTGTTGACGCGTATTTTTGTTGTGATCTGTTGATAGTGCTGTTGTTGTTTGGAATATGTTGTTGTTGATGTTATTGTTATTAATGTTGTTGTTGACGTTGTTGTTGATAATGATGTTGTTGATGTTGTTGTTGTTGTTTTTGGTATTGATTTTGTTGTGTTTGGTGTTGATGTTGTTGGCGGTGATGTGGTTGTTGCTGTGGTCACGTGACGTTTTCATGAATATCGTGAAAAGAGGATTCGTTCGATGGTTCCTTCATTCAGCTGAGATTCTAAAAAATCGAGTGAGAGAGTGAATTAATGATTGTTAAGAAAAAAGAGACGGATCGACAAGAAACGAAAGAATGAATGATTGAGTGAATGAGTGAATGAACAGATGAACTTATCAATCAATTGACTAACCAACCAATTAACCAATCAACCAACCAACCATCCAACCAACCAACCAACCATCCAACCATCCAACCAACCAACCAACCAACCAACCAACCAACCAACCAACCAACCAACCAACCAACCAATGAAGTTATTTTTGCAGAGAGGGCATGTTTGTCGCATAAGGAGCCACCTGTCGACGCACTTGCTGTGGAACTCGTGACTGCATGGTAGCACCCTGATCAGCTGATTGTTTGATTGATTGGTTGGTTGATTGATTGATTTATTGATTGGTTGGCTGATTGATGAATGAACGATCAATCAATCAACCAATGGATTTCTAAATACATAAATCAATCAATCAATCAATCAATCAATCAATCAATCAATCAATCAATCAATCAATCAATCAATCAATCAATCAATCAATCAATCAATCAATCAATCAATCAATCAATCAATCAATCAATCAATCAATTAACCAACCAATCAATCAACCAACCAACCAATCAATCAATAAATCCACGAAACACTTCAACCAATTAGTCAACGACTTCAATCAAACTAGCCAACCAGTCAAAAAACACACCATCCTCATCATCTTCATCCATCCTCAAAATCACCTGTCTACGATAAAACACATCAAGACAGATGGCGCAAAATTCTTCTCCATTGTCAACACCACCACCACCACAACCGCAGCCTCTACAACTACTGCTACTACTGCAGCCACTACTACCAATACTACACCGAATAACTGGATCGTTGCAATGACTTCCGGTGAGGTAGGACGACTTTGTTGGATTTTTGTAGCGCTTAGTTTTTAGTAAGGACAACGCCATCTTGGTTATGGTGTTTACCATCTGAGGAGGGCGGGAAATAATAAAATGTGAAACGTGAGAGTGTTTATTTCTCAGATACGGCGAATTTGAAATGCAACTAAAATTAACCAAGTCAAATTAGATTAGCATCTTCCTCTTCATCATCATCATCGTCATCATCATCATCATCATCATCATCATCATCATCATCTGACTACCTCCACTCACACCATCACTACCATTACCGCCCTCATCAACACGATCACCTGATTATCATCATCAGCACCCATTGTCATCACGGTGTTGGTGGTAGTGGTGGTAGCTGCTGCATCGTTCCTGTAGCTCGTCTTCAGCATCAGCAGCAGCATGACGACCGCAAGCGACCAGTAGAAGTAGCTCCAGAACTGACCTGGATCGGCCTGTCATTATGACGACGATGATGATGACGACGATGATGATGATGTGGTGATTGAAATGACGATGATGATGGTGTGGTGACGATTATGATGATGATGATGACGATAATTCCGTTAATCATGAAGTAAAAGAATGATGATTATGGTGACGGTGCATCTACAAGCGGGCGAAGATAATGGTGATGATGATGACGATGATGATGATGATGGTGGTGATGATAATGGTGATGACGATGATGAGCAAAACCAATTTCACTGAATAAAAGAAATGAACCATGCAACCTTGCTGAGCTTGTTGTCTGATTTGCAGACCACACCACTACCTTTCGATGAAAACATTTCAATGATGGAAAAATAAAAATAAATAAAAGTATGGAAAAATAAAAACCAACACACAGAATGAGAGAAAGAAAGGGAGAGAGAGAGAAAGAAAGAAGGATAAAGAGAGAAAAAGAGAGATGCTTAACATACACAGCATACAGCTTTCAAAATATGAGTAAAATGTAAATTTCAATCATCACATGCAGTGAAAATGTAAAAATGAATTTAAAAGTTGAGCAATAAAAAACTATGGCAGTATCTAGTATCACTAATGAATAAATGAATAAATTATGCAAAAAACCTGGCCTGGACCGCCAACAGACTGACCACGTTGTGAAAGTCTGCACGAATATTGAAAGTAAATCATCATTATCGATATCACATTGAAAAGCATCACCATTATCATTACCATTGTTATCATCATCATAATCAATATCATTATTATTATTATTATTGCTACCAACCTGCATATCGTATAAAGTGTTAGAACCATGCGACAGTCGCATTCTCAATCTCAACTTGCTGAAAAATATTTATATTATTATTATTATTATCATTATTATTACTATTATTATTATTAGAAAATTTATATAGCGCCCTTTGATGCAACTCAAAGACGCTGCTTTCGTCTGGTGAAATCACCAGAAAAAAAGATACTTCTTCAAATCTATATATATATATATATATATATATATTACAATTATAAAAATTATAAAATGAAATAATACAACACGGCACATAAACAGACATCTTACCTTCTCAGTGCATTCAAAAGTACAGTTATATTATCAGCATCTTCAACTAAGACCATTGGCCTGCTCAAAATCTGTGCTACGTCTAACTACATTTTTATTGAAAAATAAAATTTTTTAAATTTTTATTAAATTACTAAAAATGTTTTTTGAGGTATAATATGATAAGGTGATAAACTAAAATTACTGTTACGTTAACTAATGAATAACATTGGTGACATGACAAACAAGTGATAATAAAAACTTTATTGAACTCTACCAAATAAAAACTAAACCGTCGAAGTTTAGTTTAGTTGTATGGAATAATTAATAATGTTGTAGAGTCTGGTGAAATAAGAAGAGAAGCATGCAAGTGAGTATAAAGTGTGTAAAGTAATGAATTAACATGGGTGGTTACAGACAAAAAATTTATTGCAAGTAAAAATTGATAACCTCTTGTAGTATTTTAGGATTGAGAGATAGTAAGATAACAGCTGATGCACCGAGAAGCATTATGTTCTTCAACTGGGAGGTAATTAAATTAAATTAAATCATTTAAATCATACATAATCAATTAATTAATTAATTAATGGATCAATTAATTAAGTGATCAATTAATCAAGCAAACTCAAAAACAATTACATAAACCAATCCTCATTCAAATCATTTTTTCAGTTAGGATGTTATTCAATCACCTATTTAACCAATCAACAATCATCATCAATATTTTATCTGTCAATCAATTGCTTAACTATCAAAAGCTGAATAATCAATAAATAAAAATGAAGTTGAGTTGAGTAGCTAGCTCGCTGTAAAATAAAATTAAGTAAAAATTTCAGAATATAATAAATTTAACTGACTCTGTCAAGGAAGCTGAAACATTCTGTGTTATTATTTGAAGATGACGACGACGACGACGACGATGATGGGAGTAATGATGGTGATTCCAGGTGAATGACTGCAATCCAACCAGCTGAATGATGTTGCTTGATGAGACCTTCATCTCTGTTGCCACAATTTTCATTTCCTGGTAACTAATTTTTTTTTGATAAGGTAGAATTGAACGAAATTCATGTTATTTTTTAAATTTATTTTTAATGAAAAAGATAATTAGAAAAAACTAAAAAAGCTTTTCACAAAAAACTTTTTTATTTTTTACTACCAACTTAAAACGCATAATTATAAGGAAAAAACCTGTCTGCATAATTTGAAAAAAAAGGTTTTTCAAATAAATAATCAAACGAAACTCACCTCAATGAGCTGCCCATCAGCTTGCTTTTGCATATTGCCACCACGACCACCCCGGCCACTGAAGTAACGTCCATTCAGCAGAAGGGCCACAACTTCTTTATCTGCGCCATCAACGCTGTTTTGCTGTCTAACTTCTAAAATAGCAGAGTTCGTTTTAAATTCTTCATTACTCCTAACTTGCTCCGTATTAGCACTGACCGCAGATGATTCGTGCAAGACGACGATGAGAATTATTAAGAAGATGCAAGTCAAGCAGCTTTGCCTTTGATGGGCTTTCTTTGAAATCATCAAACAAGGTAATAATAACTTATTAAGTCTGAAAAGCATGTTTAAACTCATGGAATTAATTAAACAAATAATAAATAAATATTTATTGAATTTTTTGATGCACTGCCTCCATAATTAAAATTAAGCCACGTAAAAAAACAGATTCACTCCAATAACCGACACTCTCCCACCAATATCAGCTGTTGTTTTTACAGCTTGCAAACATCGAGTAAGATTAAATAGTAATTTAAGTTTTGAAGTTAACGTACGAGTTAATATATCAATTGAATACTGTCCTGAAGCCTCTTCATTCCGAAAATATAATTTGGCAATCAATTTAACATAACGCGTTGATAAGCTTCACATTTTTAACTTTGTGCGGTTTAAGCTCACTGAGTCACAAATATAAAGCTAGGTTATGAAATCTTAATACAGGAATTGAAGCCATAGCTTTTGAACCTAAAGTTGGGCTGAAAAAGTTTAAGTCATTTTACATGCAACCACAAACTCACGTAATACTAAATTCTCTTCATAGGATATATTAAACGTGTCACATTCAATTTAGCTTATGATGATCAGAACAGAATAGAACGATTGCAGTTAAAAATTTTTGTAGAAATGCACCACAACCTCATCCTTTCAGTAAAAAAATTGAAAGCAACAGGCTAGCGTAAAAACGCAACAACGAAACAGGCGCAAGACTTAAATCATAATTCGTTTCTTTTATTTATAAAAGAAAAGACTGAAGCATTCATGTACATTTTTCAACATATTTAATTACATAAATAACAATTCTTTATTATCATCAAATAATCTCCTAATATTTTCCGATTAGGCAGCTTGTTTGATCAATTCAGTGTACGTTTTAATCTTGGTGGACATTGACATGTCAATGTACTTGTCTCCAATGTTGACAACCATGCCTCCAATGATGCTAGGATCGACCTACACACAATTTAGAGTTAAAAAAAATAGTAAATAAAGAAATGAAGAAATAAAGAAAAGAATTAAAAAATGAAATAATATAACAATTTTGGCATTTGAGATAAGCATGATACTCTAAATTATGACTAAGAATATGAGAAAACAAACGAATCTCTAAACCATTCATTAACATATCTCAAAAAAAAAACATAAAAAATAATAACAACGATAAAGTAATAAATAAGAAACATCAACATATTATAAAAAAATCTTTCAATCAGATGATCACTAAGCATCTCAATCTAGCAACCTTAGTTTCCAGCTGAATGACCTGACCCTTCTCGACAAATGAATCGAGTGCTGTCTTCAAATCTTTCAAGTGAGCTGCCTCTAATGCCTAGGTTGTTGTACATTTATAAAAGATTAACGGTGAAGGATGTTGAAGAAAAAACTGAGATGCTGTCATATACAGTTGACAAATTTGTTAATACGATTTATAAATTTAATTTAATTATGCTTTCAAAATTAAATAACAATATACAATAAACTAAATAAAAGTACACATTAGATGAAAACTGGATCATATTGCATTATAAAATGAATGCAATAAATGATGAACTGAACAAGTTTAAGAAAGCAATCTGCAGCTGAAAAACAACACAACAACGGGAATGACAATTTTATAGTAGACATCATCACACATCAAAAGATATCATGAAATCAAAAAGTAAGTATAATGATCATTGAATATAAACTAGATACAAAAAAACTAAAAAGCTTCTGAAGCACAATTCACAACTGAAAATACATACAATACAAACAAAAAACTAGACCACAAACATAAACGACAAACAAAAAAACACGAAGAACCATCTTAAAACACCTTTGCAGTAGTAACAGTGCAGACGACCTCACCACGATGGGCACTCATGATCTTGGCGTAGGTGGCAAACAGAGCGGGGAGAATCTTAAAGCGACCATTGTCTGCCAGTGCAACTGAAAATTTTGAATAGAGGCCAATGTGGATTATGCAACTCAATCATTTCATTTAAGATTGCAACAAGCTCATATTAAATTATGCTCTTGGTTAGTAAATATCAACAGGGACTATGAATCCTTGTTAAGACATGTTTGTAGCCAAAATGTTTCAAGTTATGAAAGTGTTTAAACATTCTAAGTTGATTAAATTAATTTTTATAATTTAAAAAAATAACAAGTTGATCAAATTAATTTTTATAATTTAAAAAAATAATAATAATAATAATATATATATGTAAGAATAACTCCATTAAAAGGCTGCTAACATGTAAAAACAGAGCCAATCTTTGTCATAATAATTAAAAGAAAGAAAAATTTTTAAACATAAACCGAAGAGATTTGTGGTAAGAGGTGAGTAATTCTTCTTCTTCATGACATTCACCAAGACATCTGCGTGTGGTTGGCCAGTATGAGAGTAATAAAATCATCATCAACTACATATTTTCGAAATTTTTAATATAACCTCTTGTAAATTATACAAACCTTATGTTTATTATTTAACGTACTAACTGACATAAAAATAATATTTAACATTCAAAAGCAAAGTTCAACAACCTTTCTTATCAAATTTCCTTACAGTTGGGTTAAGCACAAATTCATTCAATTTAACATCAGTTTTCAAAAGAGCCTGTTTGTTTGTAATATAAATTAAATTAATTAATCAATTAATTAATTAACTAACTAATTAATTAATTAATTGAAATTAAAAACCGATTGCAAAATCTGATATTCAAAAATTCAGTACAGCTGTGCAATAAAGAAATGATTAACCAAATAAAAAAAAATAAATGATCAAAAAGCAAACAAGGTTTTATAATAATTATCCTTTTAATATTTTATTATATATTTTGTATTAATTATTATCATTAAATAATATAATCTGATGATGATTATGGGTTGATTTACAATTACAAGTTGTCATTTTAACAAAGATTTAATGAATGAGTGATCTAATAAAAAAAAAACACTAAAAGTTAAACAAAAATGTTAGCGAAATTAAAAAGTATTACATAAAATTTTTGAAAAAAAAATGACAACCTGAAAATCCTTCAACTCCTTCTCAACAGCATCCAGTTTGTTTTGCTTGGTGGCAGCAGAGTACAGTGCATGCGCATATCTCCCTTCTATGCCGTAAACACCAATGGGACTCTTGGTAAATAGTTATTGCAATTGCATACATTAATGTTAATGTTTGTAGTAGCAGTAGTAGCACAAATCAATGTTACTGTAATATAATGTTACCGAAATGAAATAACGTGTTACCATAATGTAATAACTTGTTACAGTAATGAAATAATGTGTTATTGTAATGTATTAACATGTTACTGTAATTGTAATAAAAAACTAACAATTTTGAATGATTGGATATTTAAATAATATTGATCATTAAGCATTATTAGCCTAATTCTCAATCTGTTTTTTATTAACTAATTTAATAATAATTATAAATGGTTTAATGAATTTATTTAATTAAACACTGACATTGAATATGAATAGTTAATAATACACTTTATTTACTTTACAGTTTTACACACAGTTTTATATTTATTTATAATTTTATAGTTGAAGAAACACAAAGTACATAAAAAAGCAATGAAGATACATATTTGCTAGCTTCTACTAAAATTTAAGTCTTTGAAAAATTAGAAAAAATTCTACTTTTTCCCAATTAGAATAAAAATTCAAAATTGGAAAAAAACTAACAGCCACTAGTTTGCTTTTGAGGGTAACTGAAGTGCTGAAAGATCTGGCCTGATGATTAAAAAATGATCTAATAAATTAATATAATATACAACTAATAATCATAAATATAAATACTAGATAAATGTTTATTTATTATAAAATAGTAAAATGAATGGATTACTTAAAATTAAATTTAGTTAAAAATAAAACAGTGAAATTTTTTTAAAAATCTATGGTTCATGAGAATCAAACTTGAAAACCACTAAACAAAAATCAAAATTTAATCAACTAAATTATTAAATAGGCACGGTGGTGCTTTCAATAATTAAATTAACCAAAACAATAAAAAAATCATACAAGCAAACTCAGCCTGTTGGACGCCATGTTTCAAGGTTACACCATAGATGGCGAAATTAAACCACAGATTCGAAACATTTTTTTAAAAGTGAACTTAGCTTCTAAACTTTGTAAAATAGGAGTCAAGAATGGATATATATAGAAAATGGACTTATGGAAGAATTTTGAATTTATGGAAAAATTTTAATTATTTGGAGTTTCAAACCAATACATAAATTAGTTGTTATAAACTCATCAAATTTTGTCTGAAATGACAGATGATTTTTATATAGGAATGAAATTAAAACTTTCTAATATAATAAATACCATTATTAGTCCATCAGAATTTTTTGATGAAACTATTCATAAGAATGAATATTCATTGAATTTAAAATTATTTTTGTTTTCTCAAGAATCAAGTTAAAAAAAACTACATTTTTATCAATTCAATGAAACAGAAATTCACGATAAGAAAAATAAATTCCAGTTAATATCACATTGCACGATCCTAGCACAAACAAATGCCGTTTAAGATCTGAAAATTGAAATGAAATTTAATCCAGTAGGTAGGGCCCATCAGTATTCAGGTGCAGTTGCTGAAATCATCGTGTCAAGTCAACTAACGGCTATGTGGATAGACATTAAAAAAGATTTAAACCTGCATACATTCACTGAATGATGGTTCTTTTACTATGTGATGATGTCTGTAATGATCTGTGTGTGGTGTGGTGATGTGCGTGGTGATGTGTATGGTGATGGGTGTGGTGTGGTGTGGTGTGGTGATGTGTGTGATGATGTGATCAAGGTCGGATTTTAAGCAGGACAGGCCTTTATGAAAGAAGGGACCTCCACAAGAATGTTAAAGCTAACTTAAGCATATTTTTCCTTAGAATATTTATTAACAACAATGTTTCAGACAAAACTGAAAAAAATTGTGAAAAAAGCAAACAATAAAAGTCACAAACATTTGTTGAAATGATGATAGATATTTGTTAATGATGCTTGGTGTTATCATTATCTACTCATTTCAGCCGTTACAATCATTATTTAAATTAATAATCGTCAACTTCATATGTAATTCTCATCGTCATCCTCATCGTCATCATCACCTTCATCATCATCATCATCATCGTTATCGTCCTCATCATGTTGTCATCATCGTCCGAATCAGGCTGAACTTGTGCAGTAGGCTGCATGGAAGACCACGTCACAGTTGAAGCATTGTCCACAATATCGGTCAACAACATTATTGGGGTATGTTATTGATCATGGTCAGTTTGTCTGTGTGTGTGTGTGTTCGTGTGTGTGTGTGTGTCTTCTTTGAGTGTGTGTGTCTGCGTAACCGTGTGCGTGTGTGTGTGTTTGTGTGTGTGTTTGTGTGTGTGTGGTGTGTGTGTGTGACTGCGTTTTTTACTTGCGTGTATGTGTACCTTTATTTGTAGATGTATGTGTGAGCATTTTATTTTTAGCCATTTGCAGATCTGATATTTTTCTACTTTTGAATTGTTAATAATAATTATAATCATAATAACTATAATTATAATTTTTATAATTATAATATTAATATCATTTTATAAAATGATATTAATATTGAAATCAATGTTATCAGGGTGGGTGAATATTTATTCTACGAGTGTCCCTGGGTTCTTCTGAGTTTGTGTCTTTACGAGGTCTTTAAGATTCATTATGACGGTAATGGTGATTGTGTGTGACGACGATGATGTTATGATGGTAAATATCCTGATGAATGATGTCATTATGACGTCACGATGAGGTTATGGTAACAGATGAGATGATGGTTAATGTCATTATGCTGTTATGGCAATGTTATGCCAACAAATGAGATGATGAATGACGTCATTATGATGTCATTGTTGATGTTGTTGGTGTGATGATGACATTGGTTGTTTGAGGCAAGTGTAGTGTTTCGTCTTTTTCGCTGAGGCAGACAAAAACGGAATAGCTTACACTAATTATTGCTAATTACTAGCAATTATTTCAAATTGCATTGTATGACTAATGCTTTTTTATCCTCCACAAATGCGTTTCATCGCGAGGTTTATCTAAATAAATGGCATTTGCTTCTTTTAAAACCGGTAACACAATTAAAATTTGCCTTTTACATATTAAAGCACTATAAAAATTTTGGCTTTTAGTTTTGGTAACATTTTTGCATAGTTTTGGGCCTTTTTTCCGGCAGAGCATGATCTTTCTGAAACATCTAACGTGTTTTTTATGCATGGTTCACATGGAGGGATTTAAATCCCCTTCGTGATATGTATGTGTGTGTTGTGCGCGTGCGTTCGTGTAGCTATGTGTGTGTATGTGTGTGTGTGTGTGAGTGTGCATGTGTGTGTGTGAATTTGTGTGTGTAGTTGTGTGTGTGTGTATGTGTGCGCGCGCGTGAGAGTGTATATGTGTATGTGTGTGTGTATGTGTGAGTGTGTGGTTATTTATTTTTGTCCATGCTATTCCTATTGCCCATTCCTGTTGTTAGGATGTTACGTGTTTGTTCACGCACGTTCATATGGAGCGCGTGTGAAGTACGTTTGTGTTTCATATTTTGAATTTTTAAACGTATGAACATTCATGTGTTAGTGGATGCTTCGGTACGTTCGCGGAATATTTACTGAATAAACTTGATTAAAATATATTCATTAACATATTGACGAATATTGAAATATTTTAAATCATCAGTTAGTATAGTTAAAATTTTTTTTAATTATTTTCCTTGCTTATTCAGATTATCCTAATATGTTATTATACGGTAATATGTTATGCATTATATTTTCGGTATATGTTTTATTCGTTTATTCTGATTATTTAGTTCATTTGTTTTGCGCACAACAATATTTATACAACGTCTTTACGAATGTTTCATGTACTGTTGTACTGTACATGTATTGAGTGTTGTTATCGTGTTTTTGGAGGTAGTTTTGTTTGCATTCGTTTGTCGAAAGTAGCACGCACTGTTGCCTGTCAGCAGATCGTAAAAAAATCAAACGCCACCATCTTCATAATTACAAAGTCATTCATGTAGACGGTGAACAAAATCATTCAATTAATTAATTGATTTGATTAATTGTTAATTAATTGATTGGCCTATTGATGAGGAAAAAGACTATTAATTAATTAATTGACTAATTAATTTATTAGCCAATTAACTACTTAGTTTCATTTAAGTTTGTTAAATAATTTTATTGATTGAGAAATGAAAAAATAAATAAATAGCGTAATATAAACAAATCATAACTTAATAAAAAAATATTTACAAAAGTATATAATGCAGCAAAATCAATTAGAACTGCGTTGTGTTTAAAATTTCTCACACACGAATTAAGTTCGAATGCCTTCGAATTCTAAACTTTTACGATTAACTTGAAATAATAAAGAACGTCAATCAATACATGAAGCTGTAAAGTAACTCTCCGACGCATGTATCCATCCACCTCTGAACATTCGCCTCTGCACATTTGTCAACAGACAAAGACAGACAGGCAAACGCAGACAGACAGGCAAGTACACACAAGCCTACACTGTACGTACACGCGAATCTATGTTATGTATTAATATGAATTTTCCAACAATGGCAATGCACACGCCACATGCACGGTGTATAACATGCAAAATATTTCATACTTTCTACATACAAATATACACAACTCTGTTTACATCCTACATACAAACATGCATACATGCTAGTAACGAACAAGCACAACATACACAACTCTGAATGAATACATCCATCATACACAACTTTGTATAAATCCAACATATACAAACATACATAACATTGTATAAATCCAACATACAAACATACATAACATTGTATAAATCCAACACATACAAACATACATAACATTGTATAAATCCAACATACAAACATACATAACATTGTATAAATCCAACACATACAAACATACATAACATTGTATACATCCAACATACAAACGTACATAACATTGTATACATCCAACATACAACCGTGCATTAGAGAAAAGACACGACTGCATGATTTCAGTTTCAGTATGGGAATAAATATAGAAGGGGCGAATTTTCTGGACAGTTTATATGGTTTGGATATTAAAGAGCGAAGCAATGAATAACATGCTGGCCCTGCTGGATGGACAACAACATTAGCATCAGCATCATAATTGCCTGCAAACTAATAAACATCCTCCTATGTTTGTGTGTCTTATGCCGGATGTGAATTACAAAACTGCAAAACAATTCATCTAAACCGGAAGTGAATTACATATTTTTTTAATCTGTTCACTGCCTATTGCGATGCTATATCATATGCAAAAATATGAGTATTTTTGTATATTAGATGATTCTGAATAATGATACTGAATGACGATACTCAATGATCATTCTGAATGATGATACTGAATGATGATACTGAATGATAAATACGTATATAAATACATGAAGCCATTTTAAGAACGTTTCATTTTCTTCGCGAAGAATATCTAAGAGTAATAATAAATCATCCGAATATGACGCATACGATGAAATATTTTTTTCTGAAATTAATCAAACAATCGTTTGTTTGTAGCTAATCAGAAAAACTTGTAATAAAAATAATTTAGTTTGGAGTAAATTTTTGTGATACTTGCAACGATATTTTAATTGCCAAATGTGAAATAAAATTTGCACACGAAAGAGCCAGCATGTAATTTTGCAGATCGTATTGTAAGGTCTCTTAATCAACGATTGCCATATCATTTTTACTGTCTGGTTTCTCGAAATTCATTTGTGAAGCTGAATGTTGTTGTTGTTGGAAGGAACTAGTATATGTCTGGCTGTTTAAATACCCACATTTACAACAACAACTATGGAAATTGAATTGAACATTATTTAGTAGAGAAATTACAACAATAACAATAACATTCTCCATTACAATAACAACAACAATAACAACAAGGATAGCATTAACAGATGTGATAGTTGCAGATACAAAAGTTTTAACAATAAGAGACCGAGCGTTAAACAAAGTCTGTATTAATGGCAAATAAAATCATAAACATTATGAAAATTGACTTTGAATATTTTCAAAACATCAATGAAAAGAACGTTTAATACAA